CAAATTTGAAAGTTGAGACTTTGTTTCATATTAAATATTACCTGCTCGGTCCTGTCTGTCAGCACGTACAGTGTCCTTATAGGCTACGTGAGTTGCACGTTAAGTTAACGAACAACCTCGATCCATCAGGAAACGCCAGGTCGCTGAATTTCACTGCGCTTCATGAAGAGTTTTTCTTTTGCGTGAAGAAGCAGTTCGCCGGAGATGTGTTAAAGATAGCAGTGCATTCATGATTATTAGGCTACCGGTTTAATAATCCTCCTGGCTCCGGGTTTGAGTGAGTCATTTACTCTCCCACCTTTGTTCTTTGATTTACTTTAATTAGACTTTAAGACCAGCCGCTCCTGACAGAGACGCGATTGACACGCGTCCCATTTTCTCACAAATCTCTACGTTAATTTAAGACTTTATTTAAATCATTTAAGACTGCTCTTATGAGGACACTCGTCAAAACTGACATTTTGGCATAATTTGTGTGTTATGGTTTGTTCAAGCCCGAAAGAGAACTCGATACTGTTCTCTTTCGGACAGTATCCGAAAGAGATACTGTGTTTTCTGTGGGTCGGGCGCGCGCGCGTGTGTGTGTAGGCAGGACAGCGCGGTCTCTTTAGTCTTGTCGCGCTTAATATCATTCACATTAATAAGAGCGTGATCATACAACGGTAGTCAACGGGTGACAGAAAAAAACAGATCGCCTACTGCGTAATTGCGTTAAATATATAAATATATGCCTATATTTTTTTTTTTTTTTTTTTTTGCGGTGTCGCGGTGGACAAGTGATGAAACCGGTGTTGCGCCTGAACACCGGTAACACCGACTACCGTAGCAAGCCTACTAATTGGGCTTTAACAGTTACACACAATGTGTCAAAATGCCCGTCTTTGCAAGAATCTTCATGAACACAGTAATTTATGTCTTAAATGAACATAAACAGTTGAGAAGGAAAACGCATGTAACAGGAACCGTGCATTCGATCTTAAAGTGACAGCAGCCTAATAAACCTGCTGTCGTCAGTGTCATTAATGTTAATCAAACAACAAAAAGGAAACATCTTGCTGAAAGTTTGAATGCTTTTTCCTTTTGTAAAAGTTTTTTTAGATTGTTATAGATTTATAGTAAACTGTTATTAAGCTTTTATATTAAAGCTGCATTCTGCAGTTTTTCCTCTTTGTCGCCATCTCTGTTCAAAATCTGCAATTGCAGTTATTCGTGGAATTATCAACTTTACGTGAGTTGTACCTCGACATGACAGCGCAGATGAACACAATGTTTTGAGGAGAATGTGCGGCTGTCAGTCACCGTGCCGGTGTGGATACTGGCATTCGCAATCACAGATTCTACTTTTTGGAAGTATGACCAACATAATAATTTTCACCCTAAAATGTCATCTGAACAAGTAAGATCCACTTTTGTTCTTCTGACCAACTAAGGGAAAAAAACCATTGCAGTAAATCGCACTGATTAAATCTAACGATCGCTTATCATATCACGTCAAACCGTGCAAATCATACTTTGTTCTCAAATTGTTAATGTTCAACATCAGCATTGCCTGACTACATTTAAAGCCCTTCAGATATTTATCCTTGTTTTCGCATGGGCCGGTTGCAGTCGCTTTTTCCAAACTCTCAGTCCACAGTATTTTGCATTTTACACTGGGTGAATCTGTTGTCACTGGTGATTGTCGTTTGAACCTTTCTGGATCCGCCATCAAATTAATAAGTTTAATTATATCAAGTGCTGTGAGAAAAGGCTATAAATCTCCACCTCCAACATCCTTACTTGCAATATAGCCTACTAGCCGAGACTCCTTCTTTATGTGTACAGATGTGACGTAATGACGCAAAGACATGCTCGAATTTCCCGCGGAAATCCACCAGTACCACTGAAATTAAAAACATTATTACAAGCTTACCGCTTTGAATCGAGCTAAGGCAAGCAGATAGTTTTGAACACTGGCTGGTTATGTACTTACATAATTTTTAACCCAAAAAAGTTACGGACTGGCAGACTGATCTCATGAAATGGCGTATGTATGACACGCCAATTCGTATTTCCATTTTTGGCGTGCTATCAACACGCATAATCGCTTTTCAGCGTGTTTATCAACGCCTTTGACTTAACGTTATATTACTGTATTATGCATATATAAATATATGACCTACCCCAACCCCGTCCCTAAACCTACCCGTCACTGGGGTTAATACCATTTATGAGTCTTCTCCTACCATCCTAGGAAAAGAAATATCGCTCCACAGATGTAGATATAGATTTTGCTTCGTTTCGCTCGGACATTTAACGGCGTAGACATACACGCGGAATCACTCGGACATTTAATGGCGTAGACATACACGCAAAAGATTTCGGCGTGGACATACACGCGGATATTTCAAAATGCGTATAGATAACACGCCACTTGAATTGAAAGTGGCGTGTATGTTTACGCAAAGTCATGATGTCATGTTGGGACTGGAGCTTTAACAAATAGGTCTACATATATAAAGGTAAGGGACTGCATGACAGACACAAATGAACTGGGCTGCATGAAGGGAGTAGTCTTAAAGAAAACATGGTTGAATTCACTCTCTGCTTTTGCTATGGCAAAAAGAGGAAGGCATTTGAAAAGCTGAAATACCTACTGGATTTAATTACTCTCATGATTTACCCTGTGACTCACCGTTCAAACTGTGAGAAGACTGAAAAAGCCCAAGACTTTCCACATGTGAACAACAAAACTCACCCTGAATGACCCACTGGATCATCCGCTTAAATTATGATCCAATCGCAGCTGGCTCGACCATGTAACGCAAGATGCCAATATGATGTCAAAATCTGTCAGCTATTCATAGACTGCTCTGCTGTTTTTAAGACAATTCCTCGGCCAAAGAGGAGACCGTACTAAAGCCCTTGATTTTCTCAAGCCCTGAGAGGAGTGCTGACAAAAAAACTCTAACTGCATTTTCATCTGTTACCTCTAAACGCAGTTCATTTCCGCATCTCTGCTGAAGTCATCATGGCATTCCTCATATAATCATGGCTTTACAATGCCATGACACTGTTCCAGCTCTGAGCTTTTCATTCCACATCCCATCTTTACGCCGCCAAAGGAGAGTGCACTACATTTCTGTTGTGTTATAATCCAATTCTGTAGGTTTGATGCAATGTAGCTTGTAATCAAAATGTAAAAAGAGCAAACAGCCTAATTAAAGCATAAAGTTAATCAAGAATTGTGCAAGACAATCCCTACATTACCTAAACCAGTGGTTTTGTTTCAAAGCCTAGCTTTTGGCGACCCAACTCACATCAAAATTGTTTAGCGTATAAAATAAAATAACGAAACTATTATTAAACTAAACGTGTAATGTATTAATATTACCAGGAACTTTATAAGCCCAACAATATGTAAAAATATTAATATGACATATTTGTGACAAAATACCAGTCTGATTGGACACACATTCTTTAAGATAAGACACATTCAAAAACGTTTTCTCTTCCCTTTTAAAGTTGCGATGTAATGGAAATATTGACAGATTGTTTCTTCCATATTGTGAGGTACATCCGATTGAAACGGCTTATCGCAAAAGAAAAAACTTGGTTTGGGACTTGGTTCTATTGTTTATTGGATGGAGGCAGACCTGAATGTGAGCTCGAGTTGATTGTAAGAAAGGGGTGGGTTTAAGCAAGCTAAATGATTGGAGAAGTCTAGCATACGTCAACAGAGAGAAGTCTGTCGTTTCAACAGAAGATCAACACTTTGATTAAGAATTACGAGGGGTTTTTTTTCTATGAAACACATACGAATTGATAAATCATTCATAATAAGCTCAATAACACGCATTCAGAAAACAGATAGGGTGAATTTCCATTTCATGCATTTATGTTTTCATCCTAACTATGCCAGCATTGTTTCCCTGCTATCCACGACCTGTGACCTGCCACCAGTTGAGTTTAAACTGACTATTTTTACTGAGGGAACCAACAGAGATGGTATTTAAAAGTGACGGGCAGTTTCTTGTGCTCAAAACAAGCATTAGTCTGTGGTTGCTCAAACCGAACGACATAATATAGTGAGCTTTTGGCTAATGACTAATGCTCAAAACAAGAATTTTGAGATGCAAGTAGACAACCTTATGACCAACCCCTTAAACAGCAATCCTAATCCAAACAGACAGCATACTCTAGTCAAACAGCCTTTAAATCTGGTTTGAGCAGCTGTATTTTATACAAGTGCTTATAAACACAACAGGTCACCAGTGCCACATTTTAGACTGCTACAACAGGCACCCTGTCAAAACTTGGATATCTGAATGACTTAATCAAGCTGTCATTACGGCTTGTCTGATTCCCTTCAAATCTCCATTAAAAGCTTAGAATGACCCAAGACATTTAAGCAACATCTTAAAATAGGACCAATTTTAAGGGATGCACAAGGAGGGGGATGAAAGAACAAGGCATTTATGTGTCTTATGTGTTTGGCATGCTGGAGTGGAACTACATTAGTAACAGTCCTGGTAGACAATCAATAGCCCGCTCAACACATTGCAAGAAGCCAGACTCATACAATAGCCTACATTATCAGACAGTTACAATGGAGAAAAGAAAGTCATATAAGGTGGGAAAAGCCTGCTGTTACTTCAAGCGTATTGTCTGTCCGCTCTGTAATCCATGCGGTTTCATGACAACAGCAAGATTTCCACCTTTACTGCAAAATGCAGTTAGGAGGAGGAAGATTATAATGCAAACACTAGCAATATTGAGCGAATGGTTCTTTAGATATGCTGCTTATATATCAAATTCCCTAAAGATAAACGCAACACAGTACAACCACATGCTGCATGTCATTGGCAGTGTTCATGTCCATGGAATTTGGATGTCTGGAGTTGAACAATAGGTGAGGGATGCTAGACTGTTATTGAATGGGCTGTTATGAGGTCTAAACAGAGACTGACGCATCCTAAATACAGCGTGAAATAAAATGATACTGACTACAAAGAACTTACCTTTATGATCTGCGCGTGAAGACTTAAAATGAATGAGGATGCTGCAGTATATTTCCGTGTCATTCACAATCGACTGGAGCTGAAAACCTTGCGTTGGGCAGCACCGTACCAGCTTATTGAATCCCACTGCATCATGAGCCTTGGGTCCAGAATAGACCGTTGTGCGAAAGAGGGGTGGACGGTCAAACAAACGATATAATCTTTCGTTAACTTGATTAGCTGATCCTCAGTTTTGCAGTAAAGGGAAAATGAGTCCATTCAATTATACATAGATTACATTTGCAATAAATGTACCCTTTGTTCAGTGACTGTTCAGGTTTAAAATAACAGTTCCCCCTGTTTTCAAAATACTGCTGTCCAATTTTCTTAAAGGGACCGCTACGTTTACCACATTCAGCTGATGAGCGCAGTTTGTGGTCCGTTACATGAAATGTCAAGCATAAATAATGAACTTGACCTCTGGGTAAAAATATTCGTGTTAAACCTAATAATGTTTTGGACAGGTGTTTCCGTTTTCTGTCTACTGTATTTGAATATTTTTAAGGAAAAAAAAGAAAAGAAAAAAACTTGTAGAGTTACTAATTTAATAGAGCTACTACCAATACAGGCTAATGCTTATACCTATAGTTACCTATAGCTACTTTTATTTATTTAATTAACTTATGCCTGGTTCAATTGCCAATTTCAACATGAAATTGCAAATGGGAAAATGCTACTTTATTATTATTATTTTACTATAGAGTCTATAGGGTCGATAGAAAAGCGCTATATAAATGTAATGAATTATTATAATTATTATTAATATTAATTTCTGTAATGTGTCTGGCATAAAGCTTATAAGACACATTGCACGAGTCACGCCACCTATAGGTGTGGATGTGATAAACTCTTTAATGAATAGTTCGAGTAAAGCTTGATTTTCGAATGACTATAATGTAGGCTACTACAACATTTCTGTTCACTTGTCTGAATAATGAAACTTGTTTAGAGGACTGATGATCTTTTTCATCATAGGCTACTGCTAAAAAAATCTATTTCACTAAGAAGAAAAATGTTGTCATATAACATTTGCTACTGTTGTTCCAATCACATGCTTTAACTGGCTAATTTGAAGAGCTGCTCAATAAAGTCCTTGAAATTGTGGTTATTCATCATTCAGTTCAATCATAAATACATGTAGGCTAACACATGACTGTCATTAAACAAATCTCTTAAACTAATTAATCGTTTATCTTTCCCTTATCGTGTTCAAAGAGGAAAAACATTTGACATTAAGAGATATTAGTGATATTTCCCTCTCAAAGGGGGACTGTTCGCAGCCCAGGCTTCTGACGGGTTTCACTTCACAGACCTTCCTGTTACCAAGCAACAGCTAAACTGAGCTGAAAATTGGAATTCTTGTTGTCAGGCAGAGGCAGACTCAACATCATTTTACATCACTAAATTCAAGACCTATTAACAATTGTTGAAATCATACAGTGTGAAATCCTTTTGCTGTCATTTTTAAGAAATAATGCATATGCTTAATTAAACAAAAAACAAAATTAACGTCATCTCAAAAATGCCACTGTGAACTGATATGGAATGATGCCATATGTATCTTCATTTTACTCACTTAATGTTTTCTTTCTTTATCAGGCTTTGAATCATCAATACGCTTATTGGAAATGCTGAGTGAGGCATTAGCATATGCTCTCCGTATGTGGGTTTGTTGTTCCAAGAGAAGTACACGCTGCGCTGAAGAAGCCGCCAGACATTGTGTTGTTGACACTGAGAGAGCAGATTACAAGTGACATTCAGCCTCCAGTCCCATGAGGCAAAGCCCTAGATGACCCACTCTTGAACCAGCCGACAGTTCTATCACACATGCTTGACTCCAAGCTCCTGAAATTCAGTGTGATTATTTAAGATTGATTTGGTCAAACACAGTATCAGTTTATTGCAGTTTATCTTCACACTGTAAGGCAATGAAACTCCATCTGAAGTGCCATATATACTAGGAAAAGGATGTACAATTTCATGCTGCACTATGTGGCATAAAAGCACTTGAGCAGAAATTACAATTGCAGAAATAATTTTAAAATAGAAACACAATCACATATAAACATAAAAGAGCTGATATGGAATGATGATGCAATATATATAATTACAAATATAAATAAATATTACAACGTTTCAGGCTGAAGAAGAAGATGAGGCAGGTGAAGCGGATCTAAATGCAGCAGTTATTTTATTAACTAAAACAAAAGAGTGATTTCCACAAATGAAGGTATAAATCAAACAGTGTGCAAAAGCACATCCAATATGAACTCAATTAACTTGGGGCAATATACACAAGGTAATAAACTAAAAGGAAACAGGTGTGAGTAACTGATAAAAAACCATGGTAACCAACAACTAGAGGGAAAATTGAACAATAACAGTAATAAACGTGATATATATATATATATATATAGCTTACATTGCATCAACATCACATAACACAAAGTGAGAACAATTATAAAATAATTTACATTTATTTCTACAATAATAAAATGAAAACAGAACAAAACAAATGGGCGATTTAATGCACACAAAAAATATATAAAAAGAATGATCCAATATATAAAACCTTATTTATAAGGCAATTTATCTGATTATTAAGATGAGTTACAAGTAACTTTGAAGTGCATACCACAACAACAGTCATACTCATGTGATTTAAATCCATGGAAAATGTATTCATGCAAGAAGGACTGAGTGGCAAATCCGCAGGAAAACCGCAAAAGTGGAAAAGTGTAGTTTCTCACTGAGTCATGCATTTGGAGAAAAGATCAATGTTTTCATCCATAAGGAGCCGTGCTTTCCTTTGCTTAACTTTTGTTCCACCTCCTGGGCCACAGAATGACCCAGAGCTATGCAGACTGACTGGTTTGATTCTCTACACCAGTCTGCTCCTGTGCATCCCTGGAGTACTTTACATGATATTGGTGAAATGATGCATTTTAGTCTGGAAAAGCCACCAAACCCTAATGAAATATGATACAGCTTAATTGTTTATATGCAGTCTTCGATGAAATGATTTTGGATTAATTTGCTACCTCAGTCTTGAACAATCAATATCAATAATGGCTTCTGGGAGTCTGAAAGACAAAGCTTGGTGGATCTTCAGCATGTGCTGAATCAATTGCAGGTTCCCTTTTTAACAGGCAGCATCTGCAACCAATCCAAAACACTATGTAGGTCAAGTTCCCACCACCCTCCATAAAGACTGGTTGAGCACTGGCACATCCAAAAAATCTCTTGCTCTCATTACACGAAGGAATTGCAGCTAGAGCTCAATGTCGAAACGTTCCCACAACTGGAATGAAAAAAAAGGACCTCGAATCTGAGGACACAACAAGAAATAAATGTGCATTAGGTCAAGATCAGGAGGGAAAGGAAACCAAGACCTGAACTGAACCATAAACGGGGAATGGAAAGAACTAGAGCATTCTAGAGACAGAAAGCCTCATTTTGACTGTTTATGCTTTGCTCCATTTCACATTTCTCATAACAGCACTGATCAGACAACGCTGACAAGCCTTCATGCAGGAAGGAAGCATTATCTGAAACAGCAGCCAGGCAGGAGACTGAAACAGTCCAATGAAATACAGAGATGGATAGAGAAACAGGAAAAGTGAGGGATGAGAGAGTCAGAATTTCTTATTCAGCGATACAGAGTACAAAAAAGCTTTTATCCTGTGCATCTGCATCACTTCGATGGACACTGGCCGAGACAGGCGAGGCTTTGTCAGGAGAAATTAGAATCAGTGAATATAGTCAGCGCCACTTGATGTTTTGAACAAAGGTCGTTTTCGGGTTATGCTCACAGCGCAGTGTAAAGAGGTCAAAGGGGTGTTGATATTTTGCCAATATCAGTTGGAGGGACTTGCTGTTTTTGTGTAGCTTAATCCTACAATATGTTCCTCTGAGAGAAACCCTCTCCGAGTATTGGCTGTGATATGCGTGTTCCACATTTTGGACAAAAGTGTAATGAGCAACTGGGGGTGGAAAGAGCTCTTTTTAGTATGAATGTTCCATTCAGTGTTCATATAAAGCACAAACATTTTCCAGGTATCACAATTTCAAAACTGGTTGGTAAAATGTTTTAGAAAGGAGTCTCTTATGCTCACCAAGGCTACATTTATTTGATCAAAAAAAGTAATAGGCTATTGTGAAATATTATTACAATTTAAAATAACTATTTTCTATTTAAAATGTAATTTATTCCTGTGATGGCAAAAGTTGAATTTTCAGCATCATTACTGCAGTCTTCAGTGTCACATGATCCTTCAGAAATCATCTCAAGAAACTTTTCTTATTATCACAGTTGAAAACAGTTGTGCTGCTGAATGTTATCATCAACATTATCTCAAAATGTACAATGGCAGAATTGTCTCGACTGCACATGATTCTCACCAAATAATAAAAAAGTGGACAAGAAATAATATAGGCTATACAGTCAGCACACCTCTCTTATTGTTTTTATAAAACGATTACACACAATACAAATATTAGAGCCATATATAGCCTAATAATATACCCTATGTATTAATATGTTTTTCGAGTAAAATCATTAAATGCCATTAATATCCTTAAAATGATTAAAATTTAGTTTGGAACCATTTTCTTTATAGATAGATAGATTACGATAACTGAAATACAGGAATAGCTTACCCACACAAAGCGTTCTGTGAATGGTTACAGATAGAGCGACATCTTGTGTGTGTGTGTGCTTGCATATGTTATTATTTTGGATGAAAGGGGCATAGTAGATAATGTGGTGAAATCTGGAAGAAATGTGCTATGGTGTTGAAGAGAAGCAGTAACTGCAGGCGGAGCGCATATGGAATTCATCAGAGATGAGGAGGAGAGTCTGCAGTCCTGTGCTGCTTGATCTGCCACAACTACTGCCCCCCGACCCCGGGAGGGCTAGTATGTTTTTACTCATCCTGAGAGGGGGAAAAAAGTGAAAATAAGTTCAATTTTCCCACGTACACTGATAATTCGTGACAGACAGCGTAATGCTTTTGTGCATGTTTTTGGAGCAACTTTAGTAACCTCCTGCCGTCAATGACGTTCAGTGTAGGCCTTACCTGACCCCTAATTAGATACATGCTAACAAA